GTTCCCAGCCAGTTTCCTATTGTAAAATCATTTCCAATACATTCCTATAGAAAAATCATTTACAATGTATTCTTATAGTAAAATCATTTCCAAAATATTCCCATGGTAAAATCATTTCTAATGCATTCGTATAATAAAATAATTTCCAATGTATTCTGTTAATAAAATCATTAGCAATGCATTTCTCTAGTGAAATAATGTCCAATGCCTTCTGACAGTCAGTTATTTCCAAAGCAATCCTATATTAAAATCATTTCCAATGAATTCCCATAGTAAAATCATGTCAAATCCATTCCTATAGTAAAATCATTTACTATGCATTCCGATAGAAAAATCATACCAATGCTTTTCTCTAGTAAAATAATTTACAATGGCTTCATACAATAAATAATTTATCATGCATTCCTGTATTAAAATAATTTCCAATGAATTCATAAAATGCAATCATTTCCAATGTCTTTCTATTTTGAAATTATTATTAAAGCATTCCTATAGTAAAATCTTTTCCAATGCATTTCTACAGCAAAATCATTTCCAATGCTTTCCTGCAGTAAATCATTATCAATGAATTCTTATAATAAAATCTTTACCAATGCATTTCTATAGTAAAAATATTTCCAAGACATTCCTATAGATGAATCATTTCCTGTGCATTCCTATAGTAAAATCGTTTCCAAAGTATTTCTATAGTGAAATAATTCCCAATGCATTCCTATTTTAAAATTCATACAAATGCTTTCCTACAGTAATAACCTTTCCAGTGCATTCTTATAGGAAAATCATTTCTGATACATAACTATAGTAAAATCATTTCCAATATTTTCCTGCGGTAAAATTATTACCAATTCTTTTCTCTTGTAAAACCATTTTCAATGCCTTCCTACAATAGATCATTTCCAGTCCATTACTATATGAAAAACCTTTCCAATGAATTCCTATAGTAAAATCATTACCAACGTATTTCTACAATAAAATAAATTCCAATGCAATCCAGCAGTAAATCATTATCAATGCATTTCTATAGTAAAACTGTTAACAATGCATTGCTATAGTAAAATTATTTCTAATGCATTACTATAGTTGAATCCTTTTCAGTGCATTCCTATAGTAAATTCATTTCTAATGAATTCCTATAGTGAAATTATTTCCAATGCATTCGTACAGTAAAACATTATCAATGCATTCCTACAGCAAATTATTACCAATGCATTCGAATACTAAAATCATTAACAATGTATTCCTATAGTAAAATTATTTCCAAGACATTAATATTGTTGAACCATTTCCAATGCATTCCTATAGTGAAATTATTTCCAATGCATTTCTATTTTCAAATCATAAGTAATGGATTCTAATATTAAAATCATTACCAATGCTTTCTCTAGTAAAATCATTTCCAATGCCTTCCTACAATAGATCATTTCCAATGCATTCCTATGCTAAAATCATTGCTAATGCATTCTTATAGTAAAATCATTATCAATACTTTCCTATAGTAAAATCATTACCAAGGCATTATATAGTAAAATTATTTCCAATCTATTCCCATAAAAAATCATTTCCAGTGTATACCAATAGTAAATTCATTTCCAATGAATTCCTATAGTGAAATCATTTCCAATGCATTCCTATTTTGAAATCATTATTTGTGCATTCCTATAGTAATATATATATATTCCTGTAGCAAAATCATCACCAATGCATTTCTGCACTAAAATTCTTCCGACAGTAAATCATTATCAATGCATTCGAATAGTAAAATCATTACTAATGTATTCCTATAGTGAACTCAATTCCAATGCATTCCTATTTTAAAATCATTGCTAATGCATTCATATAGTAAAATCATTACAAATGCATTTCTATAGTAAAATCATTTCCATTACATTCCTATAGTTGAAACATTTCCAGTGCATTCCTATAGTAAAATTATTTCCAATATATTCCTATAGCAAAATAATTACTAATGCATTTCTATAGTAAAACCATTTACAATGAATTTCTATAGTAAAATCATTTACAATGCATTTCTATAGTCAAATTATTTCGAATGTATTCCTAAAGTAAAATTATTTCCAATAGATTCCGATAATGAAACCATTTCCAATGCATTCCTATTTTAAAATCATTACTAATGCATTTCTGTGGTAATAAGCAAATCTATATTAAAATCATTTCCAATGCATTTCTACAGTAAATCTTTACCTGTGCATTCCGATGTTAATGGTAATCGTGAAAACAACCGTGAAAATAACCGTTTCCATACACGAAACATTCGGCATTCATTGACTGAACAGTTAGAGGCAACAGTAATACGGTTCTACAGAAGGATGCTGAGAATACTATAGACAAAGTGCGTAAGTAACGAAAAATCGTACAAGAAAATGGAAACAAAAACGACATTTATTCCCAGAATCGGAGACAAGTGAAATTTCCTAGGAAGGAGGGCTTGGAGAATTTGACACTCACAAGACATATTGAAGGAAAAAGGGGACTGGAGGAAGCAGTGGGTCCCCTACCTGACGCTCTTGTGTGAATGGATGATGAAACAGAAGGCGAGAATCTCGGCCAACGGTCAAATGTAGCTGTAAGGGATAGGAGATTGCAAAGAGTAGGTACCTCTACAAAATTGCTAAAAATTTAGTATACCGCAATGAAAAACATGCTCCAAACTTAATGAAAACAAAGTTTTGTCGTCAAAATCTTTATTCTATTTTTAAGAAGAAAAATCAAAGAATTTTTTAATATCTAATTAAGTTTTAATCCTTTTCAGAACATTTTGATTTTGATGTACAATACATTCGCATAGGAAATTTAATCGTTTTTTTCATGGCGAAAGATTCATTAATTTGGAAATTTTTGCAATAATCAAATAATTGCCAGATTTTAATGAAACATTCACGACCTATTCACAAATGAATAAAATTATTTTAGAAATGTATTTTTTTTAGAAAACCTTGTTAATTTTGTTTTTAAGTGTCTTTCACTCCACCCAATTAATTTTTTGAAAACTTGAGAAATTCAATGAGATAATATTTAGCGACTACATTGTCTGAAAGAAGAACTCTTTGGAGAGTTTAAATCATAAAACCCCATCTTAACCAAAAATCTGCTCTGAATCGTAAAAAAAAGAAACGCATTAAAACTAAGACATTATTTAATTAGAGAAGTTTTTAATTGCCTTTATGAATAATATATATTAAGGACAATATTGTCTAAAGAAAAAAGGTTTTTGATGAAAAATGAATTTTTACAACCGTGTTCTCATTTCTTTTTTATAATTTTCATTAGAATAATTTATAAAATGTATTAATTCATTAGAATAATTTATAAAACGTATTTCTACGATATTTTAAAATTAAATAATAATTGTTTCAAATAAAATTAATTATACATTAAATCAGATAATATCCCTCAAATAAAGTTTCTATTCTATTTTTAGAGTAGGTTTCTAATAAAGAGATTTACAGTTTTATAATAGTTTGCTAAAAATGGTGCGAAATTAGAAGATTTAAAAAATTTCAAAACGAAAACTTCTTCCAATCAGTTTAAATTAGTTTTCAAACACAGCATAGTATGTTGCATATTGGAAATATTAATTTTAATCTATCAGCTTGAAATTGAAACTAAAATAAAAACTTCGAGATAGATTTTTCATTATTAAAAAATAATTTTAAACGTTTACGCGTTTTAGTAAATGTTATCTAGTAGAGAGTCAAGTACATCCACGTCCTGAAGAGACACGGAATGTAAATATAGAAGTTTTGGCAACTGTTCACGAGATGAGGTTTTTGTTATTTGGTAAAGATCTTCAATTATGATTCTGTAGCGCCAGCTTATAAGGTCTAATGAATTTTTTTTTTTAAGCATTACGCCCCAAGCAAGGCGTGAAGCCACTAGGATGCAGGGGGTTGCGGAAGATTTGGAGCGAGAGCAGATAGGAGTGATAGAAGAAAGGACGAGGAGAGGGATAGTGGGTAGATCAAGGTAACTGGAGATGTCGATTGACATTACATTTGAATAGTTGGAGATTATAGCTCTCAGGGAAACAGTAATTGGGGAGGGTGTTCCACTGGCGAGAGGTGCGAGGTATGAAGCTATTGGAGTAGAAGAGACGGCTACATTTAACAGTTTCTACGGTGTAAGGGTGGGAGCGGGATGCCAGCCTAGTAGGGCCCTGGAATTCATGGTGTCTGGGAAACAGTGAAAGCAGCTCATCAGAGCAGTTACCATGGAAGTATTTGTAGAAAAGACAGAGAGAGGCGACGGCGCGTCTGTGAGAGAGTGACTGCAGACGAGACGCCAGATCAGGGCCAATTAGATTACATATCCGTCTCTGGATCTTGTCAAGAACTCCGAGGTAAGCTGAAGGTGGTCCATCCCATATATGGCAGCAATACTCCATGCAAGGGCGAATGGTTGTGACTTCTTTAAGACTTCAAGGACTCATTTGTTTGAAGCCACTTTTAATCTTAAGACTACCAGTTGATGCCATGTAATCACCGCCTGTTACTCCTAGTGTGAAAAGGCTGAGAGTACAAAATACAGTATAAAGGACATCGAATGAGTGACTCGCTAAACGTGTACGAGTAATAGAATCAAGTCAAAAAGATATAACTAGCCATATGAAAAAAATAATGGAAAGGTTTAGGCGGAGATGGGTGTGTGGTGCCAGGGCGATGCAATGAAAGTATGTCATCAGGAAAATGATCTCTCGAACGTATTCGCATGCTTTATGCAGTCCCTTGAGGAAACTGAAACTGGGTAAGAAAAAGAGAGAGACGACGGACAATGTCGACCAAAATTGGATTGCAGAAAGAAGACGCGTATATAATGAGTTTTCATCTGACGCGGAACGCTGTACGAAGGAACGGCCGAATGGGGTCATTTATATGCAGGTATTTTAGGGATGAGGCAAAAAAGAAGGCCAACATTAACGAGTTAGACTGTCAGGCGTCTTCATCAGATAAGAAGCGGTGACAAAATAAAAAAAAGGAAGGTTAGAATGAATTCGAAAGAAAAGAAAGATAATGAAAAAGTAAGGAACTAGAAAAAATGAATATGAACATAGATAGATAGATAGATAGATAGATAGATAGATAGATAGATAGATAGATAGATAGATAGATATGAACAGGATGAGATAGATGTGAACATGCTGAGATAGATAGATAGATAGATAGATAGATAGATAGATATGAACAGGTTGAGATAGATATAAACATGAGATAGATAGATAGATAGATAGATAGATAGATAGATAGATAGATAGATAGATAGATATGAACAGGTTGAGATAGATATGAACATGCTGAAATAGATAGATAGATAGATAGATAGATAGATAGATAGATAGATATGAACAGGTTGAGATAGATATGAACATGCTGAAATAGATAGATAGATAGATAGATAGATAGATAGATAGATAGATAGATAGATAGATAGATAGGGAGAAAGATTATGAACATACTGAGGCAGGTAGATACGAACAAGTTGAGATAGATAGATAGATAGATAGATAGATAGATAGATAGATAGATAGATAGATAGATATTATTAAAATGACATAAATGATATAGTGAATGATATCAGAACTGACAATAAATGTAACGGAATCGTTCTATTAAGACTGGCATCAGCTTTCCTTTGGGAGGGGCCGGGATCATTACCCGCCACCTGAGGATTCCCCAAATGTGAAAGTTACTGAAGCGATTTGAGGGCTTTTCGTACAGTTCCCGAACCACTCTATCACGTGTCCCATCCCACTGGATGGCGACGTGAGGTTAAATATACTTACTGTTACGGCTGTCTGGTGTTAAAGGCTCTTCCCTGTCAACAATGTTGGCATGCCAGGGTCGAATCTCTATTTGCGAGATTCGTACCTTTCTCAAGGGCATTTTTGTGAAATAAATACAACCCGTTACCAACAAGAATTCAAAATTAGTTTCCTGACTCCTGTTTGCTGTACTGATAGATAGATAGATAGATAGATAGATAGATATGAACAGACTGAGATAGATAGATAGATAGATAGATAGATAGATAGATAGAAAGAAAGAATGAGAAATATATATATATAAAAGAGAGAGAAAGATAGATACGAACAATGAGAAATATATATATATACATATATATATATATATATATATATATATATATATAGAGAGAGAGAGAGAGAGGGAGAGAGAGAGAGTGAAATATGAACAATGAGACATAATACATATATATATATATATATATAGATAGGAGAACATACTGAGAGGGAGAATAGATAGATAGATAGATAGATAGATAGATAGATAGATAGATAGATAGATAGATAGATAGATATGAACGGGCTGAGATAGATATGAACATGTTGAGATAGATAAAAAAAACTTTAAAAAGTTAAAAGATCGCGATTGACGTTACATAAAAATTTTTCAGGATTGATTTATCAGTAAAGCAAGCAAACGCAAGGAAATTACACTGGCAGGAAGTGTGAGAAAAAATGTTAGAGTAGCAATGGCAGTTGCATTTAGCTATTTCAACAGTAAAAAGGTGGGACCTAAATGCCAATCTAGTAGCACACTTAAATTCATGTAGTCGGGTCACAAAAGATAAAATCTCATCAGAGCAGTTGCTATGAATATATTTATAGAAAAGACAAAGGGAAGCCACACCACGTGGGTGAACGGAATTTTCCGTTACTTCATTAGTTACTGAAAGCAATTTATTAGTTTAGTCGAAATCCTATGGAAGTCTCCCGTCATTTTGTTCCTCAGGGCGTGGGAAGTTAGTAATTTGCATTTGGAATTATTCTCGTGTGTTTTAAGGGTTCAAAGATTCGCTAATTCCGGATATTTCACCTCAAGCAAGGCAATAAATCCACTAAGACGCAAGTGGTTACTAGCTGTTAGAGAATATGAGAAAAATATACTATTAAGAAGAAAGGACAATAAAAGAACGATAAGAAGACAGAATATAACGATTGATACATCGAAGTTGGCTGGAAAGCATGGAGACGGAAGAGAGTTCCACAAGCGAAGAAACTCTTAACATAGAACTTACGGTTACATCTAAGCATTTCAACTGCAAAATGATGAGAACTTACCGTTAATCTAAAATGGTGCTTAAATCCATGAAGTCTAGGTCCATACAGAAAAGTTCATCAGAACAATTACTGCGAAAGTATTTATAAAAACGACACAGGGAAGCTACATTACGACGATGGGAAAGTGATTAAAGCCGAGATACCAAGCCAGGACCAATAAAAAAGATTCTTCTTTGGATTCTATCAAGAATCTCAAAATACATAGTAAGAGCACCAGACATGATGTGGCAGCAATATTCAAAGCAAGGATGAATGGTAGACTTATAGATTTATATTTTCCTTAAAAGGTTCACATTGATCACACCCACTCTCCATAATATTATTAACATTCGTGGGTAAACTCACATATGCGTCGATTCTGTGAGAAGATTAAATAACATATACCCCTTCAGTAGTTTTTTTTTATTTCTTCTTTTTCCAACAAAATTGTTCTATCGATTAATATTTAGCGCCTGGGGGCCATATTTTGTTAGTCGTATGCGCCCATAGATATCTGTTTCTCTTACTACCCTATCCAGATAGATTTTTTTTTTTTTTTTTTTTTTTTAAGCATTTCACCCCAAGCAAGGCGGGGAGCCACTAGGACGCAAGGGGTTACAGAAAATAGGAAGATCAGATAGGAGTGATAGAAGAAAGGATGAGGGTAGTAGATAGATTAAGGCAACTGGAGATGTCGATTGACATTACACTTGAATAGCTGGAGATTATAACTCTCAGGGGAAACAGGAGAAGGGAAGAGAGTTCCACAGGCGAGAGGTGCGAGACATGAAGCTATTAGAGTAGTAGAGACGGCTACATTTATGAGTTTCGACAGTGAAGGGGGTGAGAGCGGGATGCCAGCCTCGTAGGGCGCTTGAACTCATGAAGTTTGGGAACCAGCGAATGCAGTTCCTCGGAGCAGTTTCCATGAAAGTATTTGTAGAACAGACAGAGGGAGGCGACGGTGCGTCTGTGAGAAAGTGACTGTAGACGAGACGCCAGGGTAGGGCCAACCATATTACATATCCGCCTCTGGAGCCTATCAAGAACCCCGAGGCAAACAGAAGGGGCGCCAGACCATATATGGCAGCAATACTCCATGCAAGGGCGAATTGTGGATTTGTATATCTGGAGGATCGACTCAGGGAGAAAAACTTCCTAGCACGGCTCAGGGAGCCAACTTTCCTCGCAGTGGACGAGGCAATTGACTCGATGTATTTATTCCATCTCAGGTCAGCAGTCAACGTGAGACCGAGAAGCCGCAGAGAGTTGCTCTCAGGAAGTTGAGCGTCAGACATTATAATGGAGGGAAGGGAAGGCTCTCTGTGGTGATTAATAGAGAGCAGTTTAGTCTTCGAAGCGTTGAAGTTGACCAGCCAAATCTTGCCCCAGTTCACAATCGATTGGAGGTCCTTTTCGAGGCGCACGGCAAGGTGAGTTTTGTCAGCGAGACTGGATTTGTTTTTGAGGCAGGAATAAATTGTGGTGTCATCCGCGTAGATGCCGACTTGAGAAGTTACGGCGTCAGGAAGGTCATTTATATAGATAAGGAATAGAGTGGGGCCTATGATGGAGCCTTGAGGAACTCCTGCGTTCATGGGGTAGGAACTGGAGGAGAATCCGTTGTGAACGACCTTCAATTCACGGTTTGACAGGAATGATTGTATTACGTTATATAATTGACCCGTAATGCCATAACCCTGGATCTTGCGGAGAAGGCCGGCGTGCCAAACCCTATCAAATGCTTTGGAGATATCTAGTGCCACGGCTCGGGCTTCCCCGTTATTTTGGAGAGTTCGGTAGACTGTTTCCGTGATGGCTGTGAGCACATCGGCTGTAGATCTGGCAAAGCGGAAACCATATTGCTTCTCTGAGAGCAGATTATTGGATGTGAGGTGGTTAACCACCCCGGTATTGATTAGAGCTTCGAAGATTTTGCCGAAGAGGGGAAGGAGACTGATAGGACGGTAGTTGGAAGGGTCAGAAGGGTCGCCGGAGTTCTTGAAGACAGGAACAATCGAAGAGGACTTCCAGCAGTCAGGAAAACAAGATTCCTTGAGGCAGTAGTTGTATAGTTTCGAAAGGGCGGGCGCCAGTTCAGGCGCGCATTTCTTTAAGACAATGGCTGGTATCCCATCTCCACCACTCGCCTTGTTGAGATCTAAATTGGAGATAACGCCCAGTACCAAGGTTGGGGTTATGTTTAACCCACTCAATATGGCCTCAGTTCTAAGAGGAAAGTCGGGTATGGGTACACCAGAAGAGTCGAGCGTCGAGTTGGATGAAAATTTCCGAGCAAAGCATTCAGCCTTGTCGGTAGAGGAGGTCAAGACTTCGAACTGGTTGAATAGAGGAGGTATAGAGGGTTTGCACTTATTCAATACACTCTTGCAGAGACGCCAATAATCTTTGGAGCCAAATTTGCGAGATGCAATACGTTCCTTCATTCGAGCCGCAAATAGTGACTTAGCATCATTTAGGACACGCTTACAATCGTTACGGGCGGCGGCAAAGAGACGTCTATTGCAGTCAGACATGTCGCTACGGTATAGGTGGAAGTAGTGGTTCCTATGGGCGATGGCGGCTGAGCAAGCAGCCGAAAACCAGGGGCAGGAGTGCGTCTTAACCCTATATTTCCTTGATGGGATGAAAGCGTCGATTCCAGCTTTAACCCAGGAAGAGACCTCAGAAGCACATTCTTGGACGGGGAGCTTAAAGACTCCATCCCAGGGGACATCGCGGAGGAAACCACGGAACGCGTCCCAGTCAGCTCGTTGATAATAGAACGAAGTTCTAGTGGTAGGAGGTTCTTTATAGGGGGTGGAGTTAAAGGAGATGTTAACCGATACTACTGCATGGTCAGAGTTACCAAGTGGGCATAGTTGCGAGGCGCTGCAGGATTCGGGGATGGAGGTAAAGCACAGGTTGAGTAGAGAGGCTTTACTTACCCGGTTGAGGGCAAAACGAGTGGGGAAGTTAACTATCTGTGTGAGGGAATGGGAGATTGAAAAATTAAGCGTTTGAATGCCTGCATGGTCAGTAGTAGCATTCTTAAGCCACAGAGTGTGATGGGCGTTAAAGTCTCCAAACACAAAAATGTGAGCAAACGGGTGGAGGGAGAGAGCCTTGTCTATGTTGTCTGAAATGCTATCAAGTATCTCACAGTCTTGAGAGAATGGAGAGCGGTAAAGGAAGAAGAGATAGCTTACCGCATTGAGGAGAGAGAGACGGAGACACATGTATGACTGGTCAGGCGATTCAAGAGAGGACTCTCTGGCCAGGGGGAGATGTTCCTTGACGTAGACACCAAGACCGTGCATGTGGATTAGAGAGTCTTTTCTGAGGAGAGGAAGATAGCCGGGGATCGAGAGATCAGAAGAGGGGATAGATGAGACAAGGTTTGTCTCGCAGAGAGCCAGTACATCCGGGCCGTTTGCAGTGAGGAAAGATTCCAGACTGTAGAAGTTTGTTCTAATGCCCCGGATGTTGGAGAATGAAATGTTGAGGGGTTTAGGTGGTTTCTGAGATGCTGGTTTAGGGTAAATCTTTCGGTTTTTGTAACTCATGTTGGATTTATTTGCAAAGATGAGAAGGCCTGAGGTAAGAGAAAACAGACAGTTTCGACAGTGACGCGGGCAGAGAGGAGTTGGCAAAATCCGCATCATTATGTGGCCTCAGGGCTGCCCACCGGAGGTGACTGCAGGGACACCTTTCCACGCGCGACATGGCACTACAAACACCCCAGTATTATACAACTGTTGATCAGAGCAGCCGCTCAAGACGCTACGCAAGAGTTAGGGCTCCTAACTACCAGTCGGAAACAGCAACCAGAGAACTGTCAGCCGTGTACCCTCAGAATGAAGAGATGTTGCCACAGACTGCACGCATCACGGGAGAAACAGACCTGCACTAATACAGAGGCCGGAGAGAGAAGACAGTACCGGGAACCCCATCCTAGACAAGAAACAAGGTGTAAGCCTCTACTCATGTCCAATAGAAGGGGAGGAGTGTTGACCGGGCGGTAGAAGGGACTACCTACTCCTATTACAGATAACACAAAAAAAAGGACGACACAAAAACAGAGGGAAGGATTGGATAGGGAGATAACAGGTAAGGAGTCCTGGTTCACAAATGGCTATACTTTATCACATTAAGTTTTAACTTAGTATAAGTCCCATTGTCTATTCTAAAAAGAAATTGAAAATACGGTTACCCGGATTTATTATCACATCCAGTAGAAGACATTCAATCTTCCATTTTTCTAGTTTTTTACTTTGTTAACATTTCGGATCGGGATTCCTTACTAAATTATCAAGTAAGTAGCATCACTGGGACAAAATGCCTTTCGGTAGGGAGGCAGGGAGGGGGAGGGAAAAAAAAAATTTAAAAAACGGAAAAAAAAAAAAAAAAAAAAATAAAAAAAAAATGAAAAATGTAAATGCAGTCAGCTAGAGCGAAACGATACTCACATGGGCCAACAAGTGGGTGACTGCCTGCGTCGTCATGATGATGGTGACTGAATATACGGCTTTACCTTGTGTCCAAGCGTCGACCTGGTGGGGTGGGGGAGGAATCATCGGCCAATCCTCGGCCCCCACCAAGTACTGGGCTAGGGAGATATGCTTTCAATAAGATTTCAAAAGAGGAGATAGAATGGCGAAAAAAACAATTCCACTTTCAGACAATATATCAAGCAAAAAGATACAGTCACAACATCGTTAGGATACTGACGAGACACCCTCGCATCTAGTCAAAGACATTCAATCTTCCATTTTTCTAGTTTTTTACTTTGTTAACATTTCGGATCGGGATTCCTTACTAAATTATCAAGTAAGTAGCATCACTGGGACAAAAATGCCTTTCGGTAGGGGGGGCAGGAGGGGAGGAAAAATAAAAAATTTAAAAAACGGAAAAAACGAAAAAAAATAAATAAATAAAAATAAAAAAATGAAAAATGTAAATGCAGTCAGCTCGAGCGAAACGATACTCACATGGATTTGATCTTGACGCTACCATTATGTAACTCACACTTTTGATTGCCTCTTTTGTTGACAACCAGGTATTCTGATTTTTGGTTCATAGATATCTCGCCTTGCTTTCCTTTACTGTCTTTTATCTAAGAGTTCTTTCAAATTACTTTCTGAATCTAACTTAATATCGTCTGCATAGCGTGTGTAGTTAAGGTTATGTTTGCCGATAACAATTCATAGTAGGTCTTCTCGTTCTCTTAGGATCGTCTAGCTGTATGGTAACGGCAATGGTAATATTACTTGTTTCCTATTTACATTATTCAGACTATTATCCGCATCTTTATAAACAACGTGTCGACCATTGTATGCTCCGGCCTTCTTCAGGTGGTTGGAATGTCGAACTGAACCCTTTATTTCGCTCACTGGGGTAG